AAAAAATTTATTTTACTAAAAACAGAAAACAATACATAAAATAAGTTTCTAAAAGTTAAATGACAATAAAAATGTGTACATACATACATATGTATATGTACATATTTTGTAATTTTAAAATAATAAAATATAAAAACTTTAATACAATTATATAAAAAAATAAGTAAATAATACAAATTGTCGTCAAATAAAAGAGAATTTTAAGGAAATTCCAAAAATATATAAATCTTCAAAGATAACCCTAGTGTAAATAAATAAAAACGTGTGCGTACACACATACATATTTGTAATTACAATTGCATATATGTACTACGCGTGGGTTCGTATTTATTATTGCACATGTCAGAAATAATGCAAAAGGCAGGTTTGCGAATTGGAAATTTTACTGCGGAATCAAAAAATCATTTAAAACGCTTCAAACCCATTCTAAAAGTGGGGATAAATCTTGTAGTTTTCAAAGCTTATCTTTTTATTTTAGCATGGAACTGTATTTAAGAGCAAACTTATCAACTTATTAAAAGAATTCATTTTCAAAAAGATGTCAAGTAAGGCCTTTTGCAGTAATATCACCGACACATGCATGCAAGTCATGCGCAGATGTACATTAGACCGCACCGCCTCACAAGCAAACAAGAAAAGTTCGCCGTACAGTCTAAAATATTTTTGTAATACATTTTGCGGTGACACGTGCATTCGGAAATAAATTATTTTTTTTATATAGTTAATATAATGGCATTAGGGTGGTAGGAACTGAGATCTGGTGGATAAGTACTGCAATGTCGGGGATGACGTCAATGAACTTTGGAACAAGAACATCGATGTATCATACTTTAAGATCCGAATGTAAATGCCGAAAAATGTAAAAACACAGCCTCAACATTCAATTTATTTATTTTTTTTTTTTAATATTCCTGCAAAGTACTTTGGACTCAGTGGTGTCCGGGGATCGTTTTTTTCCAGAGACCATAACGATTAAAAGAAATAAAATTAAATATTGCTCTATAATTATTACTGATTAATGGAAAAGTTGTTTTCGTCTCGCGGGACGATTATTTTAAGACGAATATGATTCACGTCCTTCTCATAATAATTATATAGCATTTTTATTTATTTCGTCCCTCGGGACGTTTATTTCAAGACGAATATGATTTACGTCTTCTCTTAATAATTATGGGAGTTTTATTGAAATGAAACTTCTTAATTGAGTTCGGAGATTTGACGCGTTAAATATTTAACGCCACGATTATTCATGTCATCAAATCTGTGTCGTTCATTCGATTTTCAAAAATGAGGTGTCAAATTAAAGAGCTTTTTTACGTGGTTTTAGTTTTTTGAAAAGGGCTGCCGCATCGGCAGTACAATTACCGATTCTTCTAAGAGAAAACGTAAACCATTGACGTCTTGAAATAAACGTCACGAGAGATTAGAAAAAAAGTCGAATGTAATTATTATGAAAAGAAATCATTCATTTCCGTTTTAAAATAAACATCCCACGAGACGAAAAATAAATAAAAGTCCCGCATAATTATTATGAGAAGAAGTAAATATTGACGTTTTTGATCTAAAATATTAGGATACTAGTACGGTCTAATGTACATGCATATGTAAATAAATATGTATTTAAAATCTGCCGTGTAATGCATTGTTAGAAAACGTGGTTGAACAGCCGGTTTCACTTAAACTAATACCCATGAAGTACTTGCTCTCATTTGACTCTCAGCGTTTATTTTAATTTAGTTCTCACAAACAATTTACATATCGTCGTTTAAAGTGCAAGAAATTAATTTCCAGAGCGTAAAAACACTCAAATTGCAAAATGGTTCTCTTTTTTATAAAGCAATCGCATTTCTGGCTAGTATATTTCAGGACGAATGGATAAGGATTGAGCCAAGAGCTTGTGTGAGCAAATCCAATTTTAGGCAGCCAATGTCAGTTACGCGGTTTTGCAGAATGACTATACGCGGTTTGGTACTTTAAACGACGATAGGTGTATGTACTTATACATATGTAAGTACATCAGATACGGCAAATTTCATTGCATTTTCGTTACGTTCTTCGTTGAGTGCACGCTAAAGTTCTCCTATGTATGTTCGTAAATTTAGGGCCGGTTACTCAATGTCTGGTTAACACTAATCTGTGGTTAAACATAGTTATCGACGTTACCGACTCCCTCTTGTATGCATGGAGTCGAAGACATCGATACCAATGTTTAACCGGAGATTAGTGTTAACCAGGCATTGAGTAACCGGCCCTTAGTGAATCCGTAAAACCGAGAATGACTTGACTTATTCCCTAACATAGTTTCCTTGGACCTCTCAATGCACTTCATCCTGCATTTTTTCCAATTTACTGATGTCATCCGAATAACACGATTACTTTAGGTCCTCAAAGTTGGCGTGTTTTTGAGCAATGATTCCATTTATGAAGCCAAATTTGTTTCTAAACATGTTTGCATTCCTTTGAACCAATTTTCGAAACAGTTTTCCCACTCTGAAGTTAGTACCTAAGATTCTCGAAGGCCAAATAAAAACGGTTGTCACCAGGCTGACAGGTGGATGACGTATTAATTCTTAGGACCGGTTGCTCAAAGCCTGGTTGACACTAATCCCCGATTAAACATCGTTATCGACGTTACCGACACCGTGTTATATATATGGAGTCGAAAACGTCGATAACGATGTTAACCGGTGATTAGTGTCAACCAGGCTTTGAGCAACCGGCCCTTAGTGTTTTGCGCTGATGAATGAAAGCTCGCATTTTCGCGATGGCGAGTGACGGTCCTTCGGAGACTGGTTTTCCTCAATTGCCCGATGACTTACGGCAAACAAATAGTTGTCGATCATTAAGTGCCTAAAAATTCTTCGTTGGTAAGGTAGTACAATTGCGGAGAGATTGGAAGTAGTTTATAGGGCAAAATATTCGTGAAAATGTTTATTGAATATTGAGTGCAACAGAACAACGGTTCTACCTTACTATATTTTTATCATGATCTAAGCAAGTGTCAAAATGGAAGAGCGTAAGTAAAATGCGCTCACTAAAAGAGAATAACAGCAACACACAACGGCAACAAAAAAACTAGTGTCAAATAAGAATAGAAATGTATGTACAAAACAAATTCCCACAAGCACATGCACAATAAACACTTACTATATCAATTATTTTTTGCCTCCTTCCATTTTCAATTCACTTTTCGTGTATTCTTTAATTTCCGTTAATTTAAATTCAGTTGAGTTTGACACATTTCAAGATTTTGCCAGCAAAAATTCTTCTGACTGATAGCCCAGTTATGCATACTTAGCTTTGCATGAGAGTTATCACATAAGTTTCGGTTACACGGGCTTTGCGTGTAAGCGGTTACCCAATGCATAGCACTTAACATGTAGAATTCTGTTGGGTTTTGATTTTTACGTAAAAATTGTGTAGCAGTGCAAGTATGCATAACTGGGCTATAAATCTGACTTCTTCGGTCTGAAGAGTCACAGTTGATCTCTTATTTCTGCTGTCATTTTCAAGTTAGGAAACGCTTTTTGGACTAAATCTGACAACTTCGGACTATTTCTGGGAGATAACGAACGCAACTAACCCAGCTATCAGATATCTGGCAGGATCTATTGCAATCGGTTATACATAGATAAGCAAAGAAATATATTCACAATAAAGTTTTTAATATGTATTGAATTAATTGCAATTTAAAGATTAATTGAAATTAAATTTTTAATTGCACACGGCAATTAATTCAATTGCAATTACTTTTTTGATAAAAAAAGTTCTTCTGGAATAATCAAAATATTTCCTTTTGCAAAAGTTGAAGTATCTTTGGAGGAGATCTGATGGGTAATGAGCAGAAAGGGTACTTGAGGTGAATGAACTTAGAAAATAATAATAAAATTTTGTACTCCAGATAGGAACAGCAATAGTTGTGTTTTCTTGGGTTATACAGCTCAGTTATTTCTCACGGAAAGGATCTGGATCATTATTATTGGGATTGGCAGCACTAATTTTATACTACTAGCATGAGGATGGCGAAATTACAAAATTGAACTCACTAAATGCGGAAAAGTACATTCGAATGAAATAGTATTGACTTAAATAAATATCTAACATAACGGCTATTTATTTGAATCAAGTTAAGAGAAACAAATGGCAGAATACCTGTTTGTGTATACATTCATTTGTCAGTGCTACCAAACCTCTTCTTCTTCTTCTTCTTCTACCAAACCGTCCAGCAAATTATCAGTGAAGCAAAAGAAACACAGCGGACCAAAAATATAAGCAAGGAAATTCAGCAAATATACCTGTCATACTTTAAGATCCGACTGAAAAATGTAAAAAGGCAGCGACGTTCTTTTCTGGAACTGTCTAATGTTTTATTCATCACATTTTTTTTTTATGTACGCTCATATTCTTAGATTAATGTATACCTATAACGCTATATAAGCTGAGAAAACCTAAGAGCCTTAGTTGAAAAGAGGATTTCCAAACCATTTCTAAACTTAACTATAAAAATGAAAGAGCGAGAAAATGGTCCGTCAACCTAAACCGAAAACGAGGACCCACGAGAACCGAGCGATGTTCTCTCCATAAAATAAATAGTTGAAATGTCCTTTTTTTCTTTCTTTTCTCTTCTTTCTAATGAACTTAAAACTAGGTAATCAGTTTCCCATGTAGCGGCTTTCACAAACTATTACGGTATTCACATGAGGCGATTTTGCAGGCAACTTATAGTTGAAAGCAACAATCGTCTGGTGTGAACGGTCTTTCATCGCTTCCAATGAAGTTTAGGGGGCCTCTAAAATCCCTGGAAAATCGCCTCATGTGAACACCGTTTATAGACCACTGAAAACTGCCTGTTAAAATAAGCGCAACAACTTTTGCTTTTATATTTTTTCTCAACATCTTTTAAAACATTTTGAATTTTAAATATGTATTTAAATATGCTACCAAACTGCATTATTTAAAATATAAAAATTATTTATAAGAATAATTTTTATCTGTATATAGTAAGTATTTACAAGTATAAGCCCAATACATAATATGTATAAAACGAATTTTTTGTGAAGTAACTAAGTAATGGCAATATATTTCCATAATAAAATATAGCAAACTTTTGTTGAAACAACTCAATAATTTTAATATTAAATATACTTATATGTATAACGAAGCACGTATTTAGTCTTTTCTTTACTTCATATGCATCTACGCCCTGTATACCAAAAACTAAATCCTAAGGCCCAGTTTTTCAGTGCCAATTTAAACTTAGATTAAGTGAACTGAGTTTCAATTTAACAGCTGGCTGACATTTGATTGGCTGATCTTAGTTTAAACCAGTCAGATCGGGCGTTTAAACTTAGTGATTACTAAGTAGCCGCAGTTTGAGTGGCAGCAGAAAAAAATATCCCTTGCTCCTCAGAGGTATCACTTTTCAGCCACAACTATTGTGATGTTGTTTTTGTTCGAACAAAGTGCGGTATTTAGTGCAGTGTCCAAATCATCATCCCTCTCTGACAGCGCAGGTGCTTCTTCACTACTTTGTGCCACAATTTTGTACTCTCCTTCAACAGGCGGGAGTGGCATTTTATTTGTACTTAAAGTTTGCATTTCAGCGCCTGCCAATGGATTGTCGAAACTCGGTGGTATTAAACGTTTTCTAAAAGGAAATATACATTTTAATTATTAGTATAGGAGCGTCAAGAAACGAAAAACCGTCCACTCACTTTGATAGCAGCAGCCATATCATCGCCACCAACATCATTACCGACGTTATACCAAACGTCCAATAAGTACCATACCGTGTGTAAATCACACCCACAAAAACAGGCCCCAGCACGCGCGATAAACAACCCGCACCGGTCATCAGACCCATCCAAACACCTTGCGGTCGTGGTCCCAACACCTTAGAGAATATCGTCTGTATTAATGTCACACCAATCGGATAGCCAATCGATGTAAAAGCATAACCGATTATAAATTGTGTAAGCGTTAGTGCTGGTGTACGTTCACACCACGGCTGTGTTGAGGGGCAACCTAGGAAAATTTCATCATCCGGGCTGAGATCTATTGTAGCGTTGCCCGTCAACGGTATTGTCACATTGTAAACTTCAGCGATGGTGGGTGGTGAATCACCCCAGGGTATGTAGAGCACTCGACCGAGTACCATCAGCGAGAAGCCACCCCAGATGAGTACGTAGTGTTCGGGGAACATTTTACAAAGCGGATTTATGGCAACGAACGTGACAAGTGAAACAACGGCGCCAACTGACATAAGAATGCCCATATAGTAGAGCGCCTCATGATTACTCCATGCAAATTGATCCATAGTGAGCGAAGTTCCGAGACTAGAAAAGAAGAAAAGGAAATGAAATTAGAAAAATCTAAATTAAACGTTGGCTATTTGTTACATTGAAGGTAGTTTGAAAAGTACTTATTACTGGGCATTTGCTTAGATTTTACCTCAACTGGAACGATATATTCTAAACAACCCAGGAAAAGGAAATCCCTGAAACTGCATGCAGATCAAGCGCCATTAGAGTTTAAAATAAGTGAAAAATTATCACAACTTTCATGCCTAGGGTCAAAATCATATCAGCTAACAAAAGCAAGCCAGAAGAGTGGCTGCTAAACTGACTAGGAAGCGATCTAGGAGTGGTACTAAATCTTATCGCAGTGAAAATCTTATCCACATATATGTTTTAACCATATCGATGGGAGAGAGATGCCTTGCCCACCTCCAACTTCGTCCCTCTGTCATCCTTCTAGATTGAAATTATACTCCTCACTCATCATCAACGCTAAGAAAGATGTGACGAATACCCAACTAGTCTAACTTGATACAATAAGCAACTCAGGAAAGCTAAAATACAAGGTTTGAGAAACATATATACGTGAAGTAACTAATTCATTCAACCTCTCCAGCGGCATAGCTTAACAAAGCCAAGAGGAACGGTGTAGAAACTAGCGCTTAGGCTGACAAATGGAGCTTAAACAATCCAATAGGAAAGAGCTCTGACCCTGCTTGGCAAGCAAACTTCGCGATTCCTCCCCGCTATAACTAGAGCTGGAACCTAGAGACATTGGACCATTTTCGTTGGACTGGAGGCTGGCAAAAAACCTGTTTGGACGAAAAATAGCCCAATGTGCGATCGGTTCTTTTGATAAGTTCAAACCCTCGGGGGTAGATAGAATACGGCCAGTACGGCAGGTGGGAAAACTTCTACTACCCCACCTGATGGACAACATCAGGTGTGGAAGAGGACGCGAGTAATCTTTATACCGAATCTTGACAGAAGAGACTACGCGCCACCGAATTCTTTCCGCCCAATAAGTCTTACAAGGAGATGCCTAAATCAATGGAGACGATTATACACAATAACATCAAGACTAGGCCCGTACTAATCCCGAAAGGGTCCCGAACTAATCCCGAAATGGTCCTGAACAAGCCCCGTCCTTTAAGACTTAAACAATTTTTTCGCACTCGTAATTATTATGAAAAGACTTTTATAATAAAAGTCTCAGAATAATAGTCTTTGAAGACTTAAAAATATTTATCTCAATATAATTATTATGACAAGACTTTTATAATATAAGTCTTAAAATAAAAGTCTTTGATAATTATTATGAAAAGACTTTTATTATAGAAGTCTTAAAATAATAATTATCGATGACTTAAAATTTTTTCTCGCACATAATTATTATCCAAAGACTTTTATAATTCTAACGAAAACTTGGACGACTTTTTTAGAACTCCACCATGAAATAATTATTATTCTGGGTCTTTGGTAGGCATAGATATGTAGATAGAGAGCATCCCTACTTCGAATCAGTATGGCTTAAATCGAAATTGAGTAAAATGTGGTTCAGCTGAAAACAAAAATACGATATCTAAATGGACCAGGAATCCTCTTCCAGGAAAGGAGAAGTTGCAGTCAGTGTTACCAGCGAAGTGAGGTATCTAACACTGATTGTGAATGCCGAACTTCTATGGAAAAAGCACTTCAACTAAAACATACCCAGAGCAGCGTTGCCGTTTTGATACAATTGTATAATTTTTGAGACTTTTATTCTAAATTTTGTGATTTGATACTTCTTTGTTCATAAATGCCTCATTTTGATGAAATGGATTTTTGAAAACTATGAATAGTCGGCCCTATTATGGTTGTCGATGACGATGTCATTTTCTCATCAAAAATAATAGGGCCAAATATAACTAGTTTAAAGGTAAATAATTTTTTTCCTGTTATTGAAAGTCTTAAAATAAAATATTTTATATTAGTTTGATTTGGTTACTCTTAAATATAAGGGACATACAACCCGGAATTTCTTTGCACACGCCGCTGTTATAAGGCCCCTAAGCCACCCTATATATATTTTTTTGTGTTTTAAGGCTGAAACTATTAAAATAAACAACGCATGATTCGCCAAAATAAAGTTTGCGCCAATTTATTGTGTAGTAATTTCTACAATATTGACTTGGACAAGTCTCGGGTTGCGCAATGATTTTGTGTGGTTTGGAGGCCCTATACGTTTGCTTTTCGTTATACAGATTCGGTTTTTGTTGAAGCAAGTAATATTAAACTATTTTTATAACTATGGATTTAATTATAAAATTTTTTTTTGTTTTTCAAATAAAAGTTCAAAAAGTAACAGTTTTATTTGCTTTTGCTACTTTTTCTGCTTGGCAACTGATCCTTTTTTTCAAGCTCGCGGCAACGCTGTTTCAGAGCCACAAAAGCATTAATGGTCTAGAACGGTGGTAGGCACCGGTCTCCCCGCGGGCAAAGCAACATTTAGTATAGAAAGCTTGAAAGAGCTTTGCCTGCAGGCAAGCTGATGACCACCATCGGTCAAGAGAGTAACTCGTGGGGGCGTAGTCCCGAAATCCTTAGTGAATCTACATTGTTACATGTGGTACAACCTATGGTAACACATGGAGCGATAGCTTGAGTCTCAAGCAAAGCTACAACGCCTGGAGATTATACTACAACTGAATCTTTTACACTTAATCAGAGAGCAGGTGAAAGAGTTTTCGCAGAGAAAAGGTCATATCATCCAAGAATAAGGAGAAGTAAGGATCCCAACTTTCGCTGGCCTTACTTAACAATGTTGATAGGCCACAGAAGATAGTATTTTAGAAGAGGTTCACAGGCATTCTTACAGGACACTGTAGACTTTAGGGTCACTTGCACAAATTGGGATTTTGGTCAAAAATCTCTGCCGCTTCTGTGGTTCGACCAAAGGACACCTCTGCACCTGGCATTTGAATTCTATGCGATTTTCAGATAGGCAAAATATACTACTTATAAAGAAAATTTGAATAGGTAAATACTTACGTTTCGAGCAGCACAAAATTGAAGACCAACACAAAGAATGCCATAATCAATGTCCACGCTGAGACATAATCCGGTTTGATGGCTTTCCACGTTTCACGCTCCGAGCTTTTGCCCTGCTTTATCATAATTTCACGTGCTGCGATCTTATGTTCCTATATTTCAAAATTTATATTCAGTTTCATTATAAAGAACTTTTAAACATTATTTGCTAACATACCTCAAATAATCCCGGCAGAAACATAATAAAATTCCCAATGCTCATAATCACATTTATCCAGCCGCAAGCGGTGTACATGTTGAAGACAAAAAAGCCCGATAGGAGGGCATAGCCGTCATTGCCCAGCGGTGTAACGGCGGTTTGCATGCCCGGGCCAACAATGAAACCCAACACCTGCGCGAGTGAGACCATCGAAACAGCTTTAGTGCGTTCGCTGAGACGTGTCGCCGCCGACAGATATGAACGACAAACAGCAATATTGGACGAGCTGACGCCTATCAGAAAACGTGAGATCAACATCCAGTACTTGACATTATCGGGACGCATTTCCAGCGATGAATAAAGACCACTGGCAATTGTGAAGAGCACTATGGAGCAGAGCAACGGTAAGCGGATGGTGCCGATTTTATTGCTCCACCAACCGAATAGTGGACTAAAAATCATCTGTCCCAAAGGATTGGCGGCCACGATAAGACCCATGAACTCTTTGCCAGCATGTGGATCTAGCTATGAACAAGTGTGAAAATGTGAAATTTTTTCTTAGATATAAGGACTTTTTATCATTCTATCAAATAAATACCTTATTTAAGTATGGCCATATGCCTGTCAATATAATACTGAAACCAAGCGACATCAGGAACATTGTGAAGTAGATAACGCGCACCGAACGCCAACGGCTCTGATATTCTTCCAGTGTTTCGAGCCCATCATCGACATCGTCGGGCAGTTTTGGTAATTTACTAAAACGATTATTTAAGTTGCCCATTGCTGTTTGAGAATGAGGTTTGCATATGTGAAAAAATTTAATATTTGTTGCTTTCAAGTCAACAATTTGTGTTTGGCAGCTGTAGTCAACATTTGAAATACACGGCTAGGGGGTGGACTAATTAGAAATGTTTGACTACATGTAAGTACTAATTTAGAAGATAGGGCGATTAGTATTCACTTTATAGCTGAATTACATGTTGCTCGAAACTCTGAAAGTAGCAAAGAATTTATTAATGAAATAAGGATTTTTAAATTGAAAAATACACATACATATGTTTCTATTTATTACTATGTATGTATGTAAATCTCTACTGTGGTTTCTCGCTAGCTTCATTTAAGTTCAAATGTTTCCTGCTTGTAATAACAAACTACATTCGTTTAAGCAAATGCAATGGCGTCAACAAACGACAGGATATGCAATCAGCTGCGACGAGTGTGTCAAAATGGGAAAAAGGAAAATGTCATCGCATCGAAAAAAGCTTATTGCACGTGAAATGCTTAAAGTTCAAGGTACAGTAGGATAAAAGGATCTAGAAACTGTTTTAAACAAAAATGCATACACAACCATTAGGGTGGTATCGCAAAGTGGAAATCATGCAACGATGCAGTAAAAAATAATGAGCTTTAAATATATTACACCAGGGCTGGGAATATCCGTTTAATTGGATATCCGGATATCCATTCGGATATTTGTGTATATGGATAACATCCGAATACCCGGCTAATATCGCGGTTGTTATCCGTATAATCGGATTTTTAATCAGATATCCGAATATGCGGATTATTCGGATATTCAAAAAATCCGTATAGAACACCCAGCCCTAAAATGCACATATCACACCGAAGAGTGCAAATTACGAGCCGTATAGAGATGTACTCTAGGCATAGGCATGTATGTACATATATTTGTATGGGTTCCATTATACATTATTCAAGCCCGTGATAAGCGCGGATAAAATCCGGATATCCGGTTAACATCAGTACGTTAATTATTCTATCCGGATAACCGGTTAATATCCGTAAAATATTTTCCGGATATTCGACCATTTTTATCATTATTTCGAATATTCGGATATTCCAAAAATCCGGATAGAACTCCCAGCCCTATACTGCGAATAGAGTACATATGTATGTATGTGCGTATGTGTTCCATTACACATTATTTAAGCCCATTTCAATTTCTCCGCCGATTTATTTATCGTTCCGTTCGGATATTCGTGTATACAGAAAAAAACCCGATATCCGGATATCTGGTTAATATTAGTTCTATTTTTTTGTCCAGATATCCGGCTAATATACGCTAATTTTCCTATCCGGATATCCAGTTAATATCCATTTATATATGTGAATATTCAAGAAATCCGGATAGAACTCCCAGCTCTATATTGTACATATCACAAATGATAGTATTACAAGCCGAATAGAGTACTATATGTGTTCCATTATACATTGAATATTTCTATTTCTCCCCCGATTTATTTTCCGATATTTTTAATTATTTTTAATCGATTTATTCAAACAAATTGAAATAAAAAGTATGAAATTTAAAGAAAAAGCATTTTCTTAGTTTTTATTCACACACCCTAACGGCCAAAATAACGAAAGCGACATCTTTTTCAAAATTTTCTTTTGGATGCTGAAATATTCCTAGAGCATTTAGGTGCATTTCTGCATCAAAAGGAAGGTTTTGAAAAAAAATCTCGCTTACGTTATTTTGGCGGTTAGGGCTCGTTATGTTGATATCTGTACAATTATCGACCGGAGTTCTTAACAATTAACTGTTAAATAGAGACATACATTCATCGGAATAATTTTTGACAATCGTTTTCTCTTGATAGTTTTCAATTTATGTTTTCCGATAAATTTATCAATTATAAATCATCGATTAGTCGATTATTAATTTATTGATACTATTACCTATGTACTCATGTACCTACATAAATCGTTATTGATCCAAGCTATCACTCCAATTCCCATGTTATTCGATAAATTTATCGATTTATTTATTTTATTAACATTTATGGACCGATTTATTTATTATTCAACCTCTATGAAACTAGGTATTATTTATCGATATGGTTAGCAAAATGTTTACCCTTGTTGTTGTCGATATGTAAATCAAAGTTAGTACATATTTCGACATCTTCATCCAAATAAATAGTTATCGATATCACTATTACGATGGTTAAATTATGGTTTATGAATTCGTTCCAAGTTTGAATTCTTAAATTATTTAATTTTCGGACATGACTGGTATAGTGTGATGCTATATATTGGGATGATCTCTACTCGTAAAAGCCAGGTGGCTTTAAAATCGCTCAAAAACCGCCGACAACCTACATGGTAGCCATAAAATGCCGTTATTCTCTAATAGATACAGCTTAGTAATTACGTTGAAATATATAGAATGTGGGCTCCAGGCCGCCAGGGGGAATCGTAAAGCCAACGAACCAGCAAAACTGAATACAAAGCTTCCCGAAAGGTATTACCTTACCATCTTGTAAAATTCAGCTGGGGAAACTAGCCTACAAAAGGCAGTAATATCGCCCGATCAAGAGAATTATCCTAGTAGTGAATACACTTGATAACTTGCTACTTCCGTACTACACGTGTCACCCAGCGAAACATCAGCATCGCTTCCGTAAAGTACATAGTACCAGAGCTCGAATCGTAACATCCGTTCACGGATCGAAAACGATACGAAAGAAAATTACGTGATATGTCAGGCAGTATAAGCTGAATGGGACAAAGAGTACGTTCACGTATGTCATCATCCGAAAAATGTGTTTTCACGTGACGAGTACTATCTTAACTTGGCAAGTGGCGGGCCTTCGATGATGTCAATTAACACGCTTACCTCATACATAAGTAAGTACCAAACTCCAAAGTGTTATTTCTTTATTCGAAAATGAGACCAATATTCAGATTTAATTTTTTCAATCTCTCAGTCCGAAGTTGCAGGTTTTAGTCCGAAGTTTTTCTTCCTACAAGTTCATGAAAAGTGTCAAACGATAGGCAGGGTTGCATTTGTAAACAAAAACCGAACCTTAAGCGCCACTTGCAGCCGGGTAAAATACTAAAATTTTGGCTAAGCTATTTTTAGTGAAAGGGAGGACAGGAACGCAATTTTCGGAAATAGCCAAAAATTCGATAGCGATAGCGAAAGTTAGACTCTGGCCGCTGGTCGACACAGTTGGCTTTTTGATTTCTAAAACAACTCCATCAGATAGAAACTGGGTAATACTTCCATAATTTTCGTCTTTGTTTGATAAATAGTCGCAAAATATACGCGTTTCTTTTCTTCTAAGACTTTCATGAAACTTTCGCATACATATATCAATAGCACCAAATTTGTTTTCCAAGCCTCTCTTTCTTTGAACATCCAAGCAGCCAAACTACAAACATCTCGCATTTTGTATTAGCATGATAACCCAAAAAAAAAAAAACAAATTTTCTTCAAAACGGCTAAAAACGGCTTAAGCTAAATAAAATCAACTCACTACATCCCATTTTATACATTTCCATTTCCTTTTCGCTTGCCGAAGGCAAATTTTTGAGGTTATGCAAATAAGTCAGTTTGTTTTGCAAAGAAATTATAAAAAGCTACTTTTTTTTTAAATTTGGATATAGGTTCTCACTTATATTTCTGTGTTCCATTAAAAATTTTCCTTTAATTATTCGAACTTTATAAAAAAAATGCACTTTAAACTTAAGAAATAAACCGGTTGCGCAAACAACGTGTCAATAACGTTTAGGAAGTGTAACTTTGTTTGATTGTTGTCTAACGGTGATTTTTATTATACAAAAACAAAGTGAAGTTTCTGTCATTTTATAGTATTCCCTACATAATGGCAAAAAATATAATGTAAAACTGCGTTTACGAAATTGCACTTTCGCACAGCCAAATTAATCATTTGACCTAATGTGTAATGGTTTAAATGTTCATGCACTCTGCGGTACGTACTAGTACATATGTACTTATTTGTATATATTAATATCTCGCACGCTTTAAACAGCGAGCCGGTAAACAGCAGTGCAGCCAGATTTTTTTCCAGTCATACGGGACATATGCATAATTTGTCCCAAAAATACGGGACAAATCGAGAAATAAAGGATTTGCTTTAAACTCCCAACTACGTACCACATTATATTAACAAAGGTGATCCATTTCAACGAAGTAATGCTCAGATTAGTTATAAGCTTATGATAAATTTCGTTTATTGCTTGGCAACACTTTTTAATCTATACAAACATATGTATGAACGTATATATAAATAGCAGCAAAATTAAAAATAATGCTGTTGGCAACTTATCTTTATTTATATATTGTTAATAATTTTCATTTAAAATATGGGTCGTTCGTTATCAGATACAACATAAATAAAAGTTTCAAAGCTTGCAAAAACTTCACAAAAATTAAACTTAAAAAAAAAAATCATAAAAATTTCGATGTTTTTAATTAGATCTTCTAGAAAGATTTCGAGTATGTGGTTTTATAGCCCATTCAATTTCGGTACAATAAAGTGCAAGTTTCGAGTTGCTAAAAATTGCAATTGATTTTTTAGATTTTTTTATTGCGGAGGATGTTGCGCATTTTCTTCAATATAAAAGTCAGTTTTGTTCACCCTCCCCCCCCCCCCCCCCCCCCACAAAAAAAAAATCCTAAAAAGCAACGGTAATTTTTAGCTATATTTCTCTTACAGAGTTGCATGCAATAATGCTTGCTAATGACCTACTCACAGTAGAAGTTTACAGGTTGAAAAGAATGTAAGAAATTGTCGAAAACACGGGAAAAATATTGTCCCGGCGGAACATTTCAAATTTAATGCAAAATACGGGACGTCACGGCAAATATGGGACATTTGGCAACGCCATAGTTAATCGTGAATAAATCAAAGTTCATGCGGTATACCAGTACATACATATATTAATTGCTTTTCCAGCGCAAGTACCAAAGGTGCAAACCTATCCACAGGTTAATTTAACGCTTATTAGTGTTTTAAAAGCATTTGAATTAAAAATGTTGATGTGTGATTCCTTAAGTAACCGCGAATTAATTGGGCATATTGCTGAACCTATCATAGTCTCGATTTTCGTCATAACTTCGAAAATGCGACTTCGATTTTTATCAAAAAACTACAAAAGCTGGGAATTATGAATAAAAATTAAGTAATTGCGTTTTCTTAAAATTTCATAACTTTTACTTGAA